CGTGAAATGAGCGGGGTTTTTCGTGTCGGGTCCGTGAAATGAGCGGGATTTTCCGTGTCGGGTCCGTGAAATGAGCGGGGTTTCCGTGTCGGGTCTGTCCCGGTGGGTGATTCCCCTCCAGCTCATGGTGTGACCCGGGGAACAGTCCCGGCTGGGGCGGTGACAGAGCTCTGTCCCTCGCTGGGCCTGGCAGGGACATCCCAGGGCTGGAATTCCTCGGCTTTTGGTGGAATTTGCGGGACAGGAAGGGATCGGACGTGCCAGGATGGGCCGGAGCAGAGCTGGGGTGACCCTGGGGGGATGAACGGGATTTGCCAGGGCTGGCCTGGAGCTGGGGCCACCAGCCCGCTTTGGGGACAGGGTGACATCCCTGTGCTGGGGACAGCTCTGCTGTGATGGCCGGGAGGGGACCGGGGGGGCCTGGCTGGGGCAGGGACGGGCGCTGGGGACAGCGGTGGCTTTTGGGACCGATGGCTTTTGGGACAGCGGTGGCTTTTGGGACCCTGTGAAGCGGGACTTTGAAGGTTCGATGTGCCGGAAGCCGATGGATTTAAGAGAGAAGCGTCGGACACTGTGATTGAGTTAAAAAAATGGATTTGGGGAGGAAGAGCCGGCCCCGCGTGTGCCCCTGGAGCCGGGCCGGGGTTTTGGGAGCAGCGCTCGATTTTCCAGCGGCTTTTTGMGGGAAGAGCCCTCAGCCCTGACCTGGGGACTGCGCGGGACCCCCGCCGGACCCTGCGGAGCTGCCGAAAGGGTTAAGGGGTGCCGGGCGGGTCCCCCCGCTGCGCAGCGCCGCCAATCCCCCGGTGCTAATTGCGCACGGAGCGGATCAAAGGCTCCAATCAGGGACCCGACCCCGCTGCCTCCCCCGGCCCGGCCCGGCCGCTCTTTGTCTGCGGAGGAGAAGGAGCGATGCGGCTGCTGCCCAGGCTGGCCTGGGCCCTGCTGGCCCTGCTGGCCCCTCTGCTCGCCCCGCTGCTGGCCCGGGGGCTGGCGGCCGAGCTGAGCTCTCCCGAGCGCTCCTTGCTGCGCTCGCTGGGGCTCAGCTCCAAGCCCAGCCCCCGCAGCCCCGGGCCCGTGCCCGCCGTGCTCTGGAGGATTTTCCACGGCAGGAAGGAGCTGCCCGGGCCGCAGCGAGAGCCGGACGCGTGCAGGGTGGAGGAGTTCAACGTGCCCGGGAACATCGTCCGCGTGTTCGCTGACCAAGGTACGGCCGGGCCGGAGCGCTCGGGGAGCTGGGCCCGGGACAAAGCCCGGCTGTGCGGGGCCGCTGGGGAATGTGCGGGGTGATCGGTTATGGGGGCGAGGGGGGTCGGCTGTGCCCGGCGCTGCCCCGGAGCCCCCGAATCCCTCCCGAGGCGCCGTTTGGATCCCCGGCTTTGGCTGGGAATGGGGGAGCAGGAATGGGATCAGCTTGGGATGGGATGGGATGGGATGGGATGGGATGGGATGGGGATGGGGATGGGGATGGGGATGGGGATGGGGATGGGATGGGGATGGGGATGGGATGGGATGCTCGGATCTGTCGTCCCCCTCTTCCTCCTCCACCCCAGGGACCGATCCTCCCCATCCCGGGGGTTCAGCCGCCCCCAGCCCCGTTTCTCCTCCCTTGCCAGGCCGTTTCCTCCCCGAGGGGCAGCCCCAGGCGTGGCTGTGTCTGCGGAAGCTCCTGTTCTTCAACCTCTCGGCGCTGGAGGAGGGCGAGCGCCTGACCATGGCTCAGCTGGAGCTCCGCTTCCAGCACAGCTCGTACCAAAGCCCCGGGCCGGGCCGCGCTCTGGAGCTGCGGCTGTACCAGGCGTCCCCCCGGGGGCTGCCGCRGCCCGGCCGGAGGCCGCTGGTGGAGCGGTCATTTGTCCAGCTGCACAAATCGCTCGTGTTCAMCCTGAGCGCGGCGCTGAGGGCCGGCCGGGCGCCGGGCGGGGATTTGGCCTTGGTGCTGGAGATCGCTCCGAGCGGCCGGGCCGGGCTCGCCGGGAGCCCGCGGAGCCTCTGCGGCGGCAGCGAYGCCCTGGAAGCCACCTCGCTGCTGGCGGTGACCCTGGGCCGGCAGTGCCGCGCTCCCCGAAGCCGCAGGAGCGCCCCGCGGGCCCCGCTCGCCCCCAGCGCGCTGTGCAAGCCCCGCCGCCTCTACATCAGCTTCAGCGACGTGGGCTGGCACAAGTGGATCATCGCCCCGCAGGGCTACCTGGCCAACTACTGCCGCGGCGAGTGCCCGTTCCCGCTGGCGGCGGAGCTCAACAGCACGAACCACGCGGTGCTGCAGACCATGGTGCACTCGCTGGACCCGCAGGGAACGCCGCAGCCCTGCTGCGTGCCCGTGCGCCTCTCGCCCATCTCCATCCTCTACTACGACAACAGCGACAACGTGGTGCTGCGCCACTACGAGGACATGGTGGTGGACGAGTGCGGCTGCAGGTAGCGGGGGTAGGAGGGGAATAAGGGGGGCTGGGGGCGGAATAAATCCCGGGGTGTGGAATCCCCGCGGTGTTCCGGAGAACGGGGAGCGCCCCTGGCAGTGGGGACGCTGTGGGGGCAGTGCTGGAGCTGTGATTTAGGATTATTGGGGTGCTGGGATGGGGTGATGACCGAGCCCGGTGCTGCTTGGCCGTTCCCTTCCCCTCGGGACGGTGGCACCGGGCTGTGAATCCCGGATTCCCCCCGGCTGCTCGGGCCGGGCACCCCCGGGGCAGAGCTTTGGGCTTTTGGGGCTTTTTGGCTGAACTCCGCAGCTTTCTCAGGGCATAAAGGACTTTTGTGGGTGAAACGGTGCTGCGGTGTGATCCAGCTGCAGATTTTGGGGTGGCCAAATCCCCTCCCAGGGGAGGCAGAGCCGGGCTGGAGGGTTCTCTTGAGCTGTGGGGGCTGTTTTTAGGGTGTGGTTGGCAATGGGGTGGTTTACGGGCGGTGATTGTGTTTGGGGGCCAAATGCAGCGGAGGTTTTGCCTAAAACAATGGAAGTTTTGCCTAAAAAATGGAGGTTTTACCTAAAAATGGAGATTTCGCCTAAACCCCCCATGGAGCCAAGGGCAGAATCCTGCGGGAGATGTTCCGGCTGAGGGARCCCGGGGCTGTGCGGGGCTCAGGGGGTCCCGTCCCCTGCCAGGCAGTGTTAATTTACCTCATTTGCGAACCGATGAGCCCGGGGTGTCCCCSRWTKKYCCCSRRTKKYCCCCCSTGTCCCTCCTGTGTGTCCCGCCGCMGGAGCCAGGTGGCAGCCGAGCCTCAGGCAAGGGCAGAGCACAGCCCGGGCTCGGCACATTTGCGTTTTTCCGGGTTATTTTGGGCTGATTTGTTGTTTCTGTGCTGGCCGGGRGCCCTGTCCCTCGCAGCGGCGGCGCTGAGCTCTGCAGGAGTCACTGAAGGGCCCCAAATCTGCCCCTTCCCATCCTTGGCCGCTTTTCCTCCTCTCCCAGCCCCGGGCTCGGAGTTTTCCCGAGGTTTGGAGCCCGGGCCCTGCTCCTGAGCTGTTCCCCGTGCGTGTAAAGCCACAAAGCCAGGCTTTCCTGACACTTTCGGGATTTTTTTTGGGAACTGAAAAGGAATCCGAGTTAGACTTGAATTTTCTCTTGATTTTGGAACTGTGAAGCCGGCCCCATAGCACAGCAGCTTTCCCTTCTCTGCTGGTTCTGTGCTGCTCTCGTGTCTTTGGGCTCTGATGACATTTCCCAGCTCTTYCCCCACGGGAAGCGCTGAGGGTTGAACCACTGCGGGTCCCCAGGATGGGTTTTTGGTGAACGACACCCAGGATGTGCAGCTGAAGACCAAGCCTGGAGTTTTAAGCTGGATTCACATTCCCCCATCCAGCTGTTCCCCGATTCAGGAATTCCCCCATCCAGCTGCTCTATTCTGCACCCAGCTGTTCCTCCATTCAGCTGTTCCCCATCCAGCTGTTCCCCAATTCAGGAATTCCCCCATCCAGCTGTTCTGTTCCCCATCCAGCTATTCCCACATCCAGCTGTTCCCCAACCCAGCTGTTCCCACATTCAGGAATTCTCCCATCCAGCTGTTCCCACATTCAGGAATTCTCCCATCCAGCTGTTCCC